CTGGAAAGAGATGATCTTCAAGGTCCCTTCCAACCTCAACCATTTTGTTACTCTATGAAACTCATCTCTTGAGCAAAACCATCGCGGTTGCCTCCCACTTTGCTTGTGCAGCCAAGAGTTTTGAGAGAAGGGGACGAAGCCAGCGCGGGGACGTGGTGCTGGCTGGCTACCGAGCGGTTAAACTGGACTGTTCAGACCCAACATTCTCCTCCTCCTCGTTCAGAGCCTGCTTTTGCAGGGCAGGAGGTGGCCGGCAGAGTCTTCCTGTCCTTCACCCTTGCCCACAGAGCAGCACCACCACACATTTCCCGTTACCTCCCGAGCCATCGGTGGGGGTACATTAACCCCCTTGGAATTCTTCCCACCCACGGTGATGCCTCCCCAGCCCAGCCCAGCCCACCCTGTGCCTCCCCGTCTTCCCAAACGCTCCAGCTCAGACAGGAGGTTGAGTAAACACCCTCCCAGCTTCTTCAGGGAAGGGCGCAAAGAAATATTCCTTTTTGGGGAAGGTAATCCCATCGAGAGGCGCTTCAGAGGATGAAGAAACCAGTGCCGTGTCAGCAGGACTTTCCCATTTGGTTCTCTGACACGCAGAGAGTAAGCTCATTTCTAACGCTTCTCTCTCATATGGATTTTCTTCCCCAAATTGTTTCTGGAGTGGTGACCCTGCTGGCTAAGTTAGCAAATTTGCCCAAAAGAGGTTCAGGAAGGTTAATGAAATCGGTTCTCTCTTGGCAAGAGCCAAGCGAAGAGGCTGAACCAAATACAATTTACCCACCGCCCACCACCCGCTTTTAGGCAAGCGACGTACCGTCCTTTTAACGCGTTGAAGAGCCTGATGCCATCGGCGGGGCCGCAGATCTGGATGACGTCCTCCCTGGTCAGCTTCAGCAAGTCCGCACCTACAGTTTCAAAAAGTAAAATCTCAAAAGGAGTCCAAGTCACACAAACCAGCCCAAAGAGTCGGGGACAGGGGAGCCCTGGGCACCGCAGCTGGGCCAGCTCCTCGTGCTTGCAGAGCTCACCTCGTTCCCAAATTGCTTCTGCCAGCAACCTCCCCCAGAAGGACACTTGCAAGATGTATTTTATTTTTGCCCAGACTGGTTTTGCAAGAGCCTGTTTCAGCACAACCTTATCATTTATGGCTGGCTATCCAGCACCGTGACCCTGGACAAGGGGCTGTATCACCAGGGAAGTAGAGAAAAGCAGATGTTTTTAAACACACAGCGATTTCCCCTCGAGCAGCATTTCTCAGACCAGAGGGTGCTGAGAGCTCTGTGAAAAGAAACTACCACGGTCCCCACTAGTTTGCCAATTGAGAGCAAGGTAAGAAACGAAGGACAGAGCTTTCAGGGAGACACATTTTACTGCATTACCAAAAAAAAAAACCCTGAGAAACATTTATATTTTCAACAGTATCGTGACAATGGCCTTGGGAGCAAGAGGAGGCAGAGCCACTTGGCCCAGAGGAGGGGCAGACACAGCGGGGACCTCCACGAATCATCGAATCACTTGGGTTGGAAAAGCCCCTCGGGATGATCGAGTTCAACCACGAGCCCTACTCTGCAAAGCTCCCCCCAAACCATCTCCCCCAACCCCACATCTCAACGACCTTGAAACACCCCCAGGGATGGGCACTGCACCCTCTCCCTGGGCAGCCTGTGCCAAGGGCTGAAGGCTCTTG